GTTCAAGTGCGGTGATTCAGAGACCACAGCCATCACTGCATGTGACACATGCCAGCTGATGCCAGAGGGTGCCACGCACATTGTGGAACGGGTACGCTTTGCTCAGCATACAGTTTGCTGATTAAGCATCACCCAAGGGTGCGCAGATACAAGACCTGTTTTGAAAACACATACTTGAAATCCCGTTGAACTGGATTTCCTTTCTCAAGAGTTCTCTGTAGCTATCTTTTTCCCCTCCTTCAGAGAAAAATCAAATGTTCCATAATGCGTTTTGTGTAGAACATGGTTCTAACAACACAGAAAATTTCGTTAAATGTCAGAAGAATTTAAAGCCTTGTTGTTGAAAATCACAGGCTCAAGATGTTGCCAGTATTTAGATCTTTGAAAACTTAATAACCAATGTGTGTGAAAATCTCTCTGAAACCTGTGTGTGGCTGTGGAACACGATGTGACCACCAGTTTATCAAAAGAAACCAGCAATCATGCATGCGAAGCAAGAGAAAGGTTAGGGGTGCTATTGAATGGGTACCGAGTAAGCGTTAATCCAATTGCATTTTAAGAATACAGACATCCATTCCCAATTGTTGCTCCACTAAACTAAACAGTAATGTCTGTAAGGCCATTAAGATAATTTGCTATCCTTGCTTTGTCCTGTGAGCCCTGAAAGAAAAATTAGAAATTGAATGACAAATAGTGGTACGATTTTAATCTAAAAGTAGATGGCTTTTGTAAAATATTGAAAGGTGCTCAACACAGGCTAAATGCATGCATGAATTCAAACATATATGCAAAGACAAATGTGCACACATAACACTACCCAGATGGTGCACACATGTATACACACACAACACTACCCATGTTTAACCAAACAGAGAATGATAACAAAAGCAGGGTATAGCAGAGAGGCTGTGATCCCAGGAAATAGGAGAAGACAGGCCAATTGTAGAGGGACAGCTGGAGACCTGTGGACCCAGGGAAGCAGCCAAGACAGCAGAAGGTATTATAGTAACCAGATAACCCAGCTGTGGTCAGCAATCCATAACCGGAACTCCAAAAATGGTTAGGTGGGAAGGGGAATTCAGCAGGAGTTCAGGAGGTCAACCCAGGCATAGAACTGTTTTTCCTGCTGTTCTGCTTTTTTTGACCACGAAAAGAAGCAGAATGGCAGAGCCGGATCAGACGGGTGCAGGAACAGGATGGATTTCACGGCTCAGACTCCCACCAGTGCCATATCAGGGGAGGGGAGATGGAAGAACAACAATGAGCTCCACAAGCATTAAACTGAGAGAGAATTCATGTCCAGTTCAGCACATCGCACTGGTCCCATAGGGAAAACAATACTGACTTGGCATCCTACATGTTCCACTCAAAATAGGTCCGGATGGCCTCCAGACCTAATGGCCAGCAGGCCCAGACCATCACCAGTGTCACATTGTCCACCATTTTGTGTGCTAAGGAAAAGGCTGTAGGGCTGAATAAAAAAACAACAAACTGCGAAGGCACTGAGCCAGGAGAGAATGTATGTCCAGCTCACTACGTTGCGTTGGTCTCACAGGGAAAATATTGCCAATTGCCAGCCTACAGGTTGTACCCAAAATAGATGCAGGTGGCCAACAGACCTAATAGCCAGCAGATTCCAACAAGATCAGCCGCTGACATTCCAGTGATTAAGCACAGCTGGAGTCTCCATAATGCAAAGCACTGCTTGAACCATGACTGGGAAAGAGGCTGTGCAGGCAATGCTGTGGCCACAGGACAGGATCACAGGGCGTAAAAAGTGGTGAGCCAGGTGCTGGAGCTACTGAGACCATGGTGGAAGTCTAACACAAGAACCTGGAACTGGAGCTCACTGCAGGAAGTGGCACAAGTGACTGCAAACAAAAAATTGGGTATTGACATCGGTTCTAATCCAGGGGCCCCATTTTCCATCCAGCTCCCTGCTTGCAGCCTGGGAAAGTAAGTGAAATCAGCCCAAAGCTTTGGGGCCCTGCGCTCATGTGTGAGACTAAGAGGATCTGAGCTCCTGCTTCGGATTGGCTCCGCTCCAGCCATTGCAGCCACTTAGTGGAATCAGTGGAGGAGGATCTTCCTGTCTCCCTTCCTCTCCATATGTCTGATTGCCCAAGAAAAATAAAGCTTAAAAAAAAGTGGGTACTGAATGCAATCAGTGGTCAACACACCTTAAAGATCAGACCTAAGGAGAGAAATTTGCTAGCCAGAGTAGCAATAACTGACAGCAAAAGAAGAGACAGAGGCACAATGAATATTATGGATGCTTCCCCCACAAACGAGCAAAAGCCTTTGTGAATCTCAGAGTTAACTGAGAAAGAAATCAGAGAAATGGAGAAAAAGAATGTTAAAAACTTGTTAAAGAGCTTCTCAAAAATAATGAGAAGCACATACGGTAATTTAAAGATTATAAGGAAATAGCAGCAATGACTCAACTGAAACCTGATATACTAGATGAACACAGTATAGCAAATTAAAAATTCAGCAGAAATCTTCAAAATAGAATGAGGCAGAAGAAAGAATCTCAGAACTGGAAGACATTCCTTGAACAATAGGGGAAAAATCAAAAAGCTGGAAGAGGAACTGAGTCAAGCTAAGAAAATTATTCAAGAATTAAGGGCCACTAGTAAAAGGCAGATTATAAGAGCTATGGGAGTTCAAGAACGTACAGAAAGAGAATTGGGCTTAAAAGTGTGTTCATTGAGGCCTTTGCGAAGCCAGAGCAGTAGGTGCCTTTCTTCTGAGTTTTTGGACTGGAGCTGCCAGCAGTCTCTCTTTCATGAGCTCCCAGGTCTGGGGATTCGCCCTGGGGACTGTTGGAGTGAGCCTGGAATCAAGCATGTGTTTTGGTCCCAAGAGCAGGTGGGATGAGGGAAGGAAAGACCCCAGGCTAGTGTGTTGTGCATGTGAGCTATGCCTGGGATCTTGCACACACACTTGTATCCTAGGAGATTGGAGAGCTAAGGTCCCATACCTAAAGCTGTGTGTGGAGAATGAGGTGTGGAGCGGGCCAGGCCATGATATCTAACAGTTCATACAAAGGCTGGGACAGAAGGGGCATGCTATGCCAGGTAAGGGTCTAGCACCTGCTGGCATGCGTGAGATCTGGGTCTGGGAGTGGGCTGGGGATAAGTGACCCATGGGAAACCCCTCGTGGGCCACAACTGCTGGTGAGCATGAGGTTCAGGCCTGGGTGTTGGTCAGGTTGGGGAAGGTAGTTCCACCTGTCAACAAGTGTGTGAGCTGGTTCTAGAGGGAGGCAGACTGGCCAGGGCCAAACCAACCTTATCCTACTGGCTGGTGCAGAAGCCAGACTGGGCTGTGGATCATGCTTGGCTAAGTGATCACCTACTAGTTTGCATGAGGCAGGGATGGGTGCAGACTGGGCAGGGTTAGGCTGCAACACCTGCCAGTGAGAGTTGGGACTGAGGGCAGATCAGGTCAGGCTGCAGCACCAGTGGCAAAGGACAAGATGGGAGAAGGGCTATGCTGAACTGGGTCAGAGCAACCACTGGCACGTGCAAGATTTGTGGCTCAGAACAGGTCTTGTTGGGGAACTACAGGGATGCCCCAGTTGGGTTATGGCTCCCACTAGTGAGTATAAGAGCTGGAGTGGAGGTGGTGATCTGGGCTGGACATGGCTACAGTATCCCTAGGAATTGGTGTGAACTGAGTCTGGGGTGTGCCAAACTGGGCTAGACTTTGATACCCACTGGTGCTCCTGAGGGCCAAGGAGGGGGTTACACAGGATAGGCTAGGTGTCAGACCTGCTGAACCACGCTAGAGCTGTGCTTGTGTCTAGATCAGGTGTGCTTGGGATACAGCACCCAACAGTAAGAACTGGAATGGGTGTGGGCCAGTTGAGTGAGGCCATTGTTCCCTCTAGGCAGGAGGTGGACTAAGTCAGTTTGGGCCAAGGACCCACCAGTATGCACAAGATCTGCCACTGGGAGGAAACCTGATAGATGAGCTGGGAGAACTCTTTGCCAGAATATATTCCCTGCAGGTTAGCTTAAGAACCAGCCTGGAAGCAGCTAGGACCTGGCCAGGTTATGGTACCTGTTGGCATACATGTGTGTCAGACCTGGGGACAGGCCAAGTAGGGCCAGTTCAAAATGTCCACTGGCAGGTTTGAAAACCAGAACAGGGTACAGGACAGTCTGGGTCAGACCAAAACACCAGCCAGTTCACATTAGGGCTAGGACTTGGGGCTGGCTGGGCTAGACAGGGCTGCAGCACTCAACATCATGAGCTAAAATGGAGCAGACCAGGTCAGGTCAGGCTACAGCACCTGCTGACAAACACCGAAGTCTGGTTGGCAGTGCCAGTCTGGGCCACAACACCTACCAGCACATATGAGACCACAGGGCAGGAGGTACCTTGTAGCAGGTTGTGGAGGGCTCCCCTACTGGTTCACTGCTCCCACTTGCAAGTGTGAGAACTGAGATCCAGGCAGATGAGGCTGAGGAAGGCTACAACCCCTGTTGGGCTGAATGTGACCTTGGTTGCGGAAGAGCCAGTTCGGGCTAACCCACTGTATCCACTGGTGTATGCATATGCCAGAGTAAGAACAAGCTGGTTGGGTTTTGCCACAGCATCAGCTGGCAAATCCTGGTGCTGGGGCCAAAACCTGTCAAGCTAGACTGCAGAACCACCTGGAGAATGAAAAATCAAGGACTGGAAGTAGGTCCAGTATGGAAACTGTGGTCACTATTCTGATAGACTGAAACTGGCACTGCGTGAGAACCAGGGCTGGGGAAGGGCCTGGCCAGACAGGCAGTGGCACTGGCCAGCATGAATGAAGGCTAGATAGTGGAATCAGTTGAATGAGGCTAGATTTCAATATCCATTGACGTGTATGAGTGCTGAATGGGATATGGGCAGACTGGACCAGTTTCCTGCACATATTGGCAAGCACAGAAACCAAGGGTGGGGGTGGCCTGGTGGGGGTTATTAGGGGTCACTCTGACTGAGCTGCAGCTACCACTGGTGTACATGAGGGCCAAGTGTGTCGTGGGAAGAGTTGTCCTTGCGCAGGGGCCATGCTAATTTTCTCTGTATCATTCCAATTTTAGTATATGTGCTGCCGAAGCAAACACGGTGGGAAGAGTTGTATTAGGTCTCAGAATCCATTGGTTTGTGTAAGAGATGGGGCTGGGGACAGAACTGACCTAGCAATTGCAATTACCAGTGTGCATAGGCTAATTTGAGTGACAGACTGAGCCAAATCCTGTACTGTTAAGGCACACAACAGTCATGTCTGGGATCACTTCACACAAGGTTTCTTTGTGGATCCCCTCAACTGAACCACTGGACTCAGAACTCCAAGCACAGAGAGAATTTCAGGGTCTGTGGTCTGGGCAAGGAGTGTACATGTCTGACCTAGGCCCCCACAGTGGTTCAGATGGAACAGTGGACAGCATGCCCAGATGCACCTGGAGGATATGGCAATCCATTGGAGCCTGCAAAAGACATCTGGTACCATAACAGAAGAAGGAGGTAGAACAACTACTCGAGCCAAGTGTTGACAGCAAATATCTGGGCAAATAATGACTCTAAATTGGGTTAGATCGGCCAATGGACCTTGGAAAGATTTCCTCATCCTTGCACTTGAGCAGAACCCTCAGAGCATGTCCCACTTCAACAACACCGGGATGACATTAGGTGGCCATTCCTCACTTCTGGGTACTGAGGCAGTTGGGAGGCTGGGTGTGGCTTCTCCCCTTACTCTCCACCTTTCCCCAGACACAGGAAGAAGAAAAAGAAAATTCTGAAGCAATAGTCTCATCAGCTTTTCTGTAATCCTCAACCCTTCCCACCCTAATCAACAATGAAAACATCATCAAAAATATTTTTTTAAAAAATTGTATTCAATGAAATAATAAAGAAAAATTTTTCAAATTTGGAGAAAAAAATTGGGAAACAGAACTTCCAACAGGACTGACCAAAAGCGAACTTCACCATGACACATAATAATCAAGCTCTCTTCAGTTGAACACAGGGAAGATATCCTTAAATATGCATGTGAAAAAAACCAACTAACATGTAGACTTGCTGCTAATCTCTCAGAGGAGGATGGAAGAGAGGCCAGAAGGGAATGAAGCAACATATTCCAGATATTGAAAGGAAAAAATGATCAGCCCAGAATAACTTACCCAGCAAAGATTTCCTTTGTCTTTGAAACTGAAAGGAAATTCTTCCACAGTAAAGAAAAGCTCAAAGAATTCACCCTTTCTGAACCTGCCCTACAAATGATACTTAAAGATGTTCTCTTCACAAAGAAAAGGAATAGTACTCACAAAAACCAAAGGCAAATGTGAAGAGCATCTGAGCAAAACAGCAACAGAAGACTAAATCAAACAGTGAACAACCCATCGCTAAAATGATAGGAGCAAACCAACACCCATCAATATCAACCCTGAATGTAAACGGCTTAAACTCATTAATCAAATATCATAGATATGCAGACTGGATCAAGGAACAAAATCCATCTTCTGTTACCTACAGGAGATCCATCTCAACAACAAAGATATGTGGAAACTGAAAGTTAAAGGATAAAAAATATATATATATTCCAGGCTAATAGAAAGGAAAATCGAGCTGGTATGGCATCCTTATATCAGATAATATAGACTTTGATGTGAAAAATATTAAAATAGGTGAAGAAGAACACCACATGATGATCACAGAAGAGATCACCTTACTAGTTTCTTAGAATGTGTTATTTCTCCTGTCTAACTTCACCAGGATTTTCTCTCTTGCTTTTCTTTGCTAGTCTGGCTAAAAGTTTGTTTTGCTCATCTTCTTTAAAAATGGCTCTTCCTCGGGCCTGGCGGTGTGGTTTAGCAGCTAAAGTCCTTGCCTTGAATGCACCGGGATCGCATATGGGCGCCGGTTCTAATCCCGGCAGCTCCACCTCCCATCCAGCTCCCTGCTTGTGACCTGGGAAAGCAGTCGAGGTCAGCCCAAAGCTTTGGGACCCTGCACCCGCGTGGGAGACCTGGATCCTGGCTCCGAATCTTGGCGCAGTAACGGCCGTTGTGGTCACTTGGGGAGTGAATCATCAGACGGAAGATCTTTCTCTCTGTCTCTCCTCATCTCTATATATCTGACTTTCCAATATATAAATAAATCTTTTTTTAAAAAATGGCTCTTTCTTGATGTGATTTGTACTTCTTAGTTTCAATTCCATTTATTTTTGCTGTGATTATCATTTTTCTTTTATTAATAAGTCCTTGAAACATATTATTAGATCATTTATTTGAGATATTTCTGTTTTTTGTAAGCACCTGATGTTACAAAGGTCCCTCTAAATACTGTCTTTTGCGACATCTTATGGGTTTCGATACTTTTGTCTTTATTTTTATATCTTTAATAAAGATTTTTTTCATGTTAATTTCTTTAGTGAAATATAGGTCATATAGTAGCATCTTTTTCTTCAAGGAAACTTTTGATTTTATTTCTGCAATGACACATTGGCCATTCAGTAGCATGTTAGTTAACTTCATGTTGTAATTTTACTATTTTTCTTTCTGTTGTTAAGTTTGTCTTATGGCTTTTAATTTAGGCAGATGTATAGTAACTGTGTAATAGAAACTATCATATCCAGATGTGAAAATACAAGGTAGAATTCATCTCTACTTCCAAATCAAAGATGGATTCCCAGTGAGACTGTTGAATATATCTTGACAATAGGATGCTGGACTATTTGTGGTTGTCCTTCCCTACAATTAAATAGCAGAATGATGGACTATTTATGAAGGACTGTACTTTGGAATAATGTAGGGGAAATCATTTAGGGAGAGGAGAGCTAGGAAAAGGGGAGGTGAAATCCCAGAGCCTATTGGAACTGTATCACAAAATAATACAATTAATTAATTGTTTTAAGAAGTGAAAAGATTATGACTGAGGCTGAACCTCGATATCCATCTTGGGTCATTTAGTTTAAAAATTGTGTATTTGCACTGAGTTTTTTCTATATTGCAGAACTCCGACAATGGCCTCCAGGGTCTGGAAGTATATATGAATACTCTCACAGAGCTCAGGATCCAAACAGGAAAATTCAATTACTAGACACAGCACCAAGGATAGTCCTGCAGTAAACCTTAGCCAACAACCATAAATATTACACTAGGTTTTCATTCTATGCTGTGTATGAAAATCCAATAGTAGAATTATTCCGGTCAAGTCATATACAGGTGACGAATTGTTAAATCAAATTTTGAAGAGGGAAAGAGACAAAATTTGGTAGGCCAAATTGGGGTGGACCACTATTAAAATTTCCATAGCAAGAAACATTGCAGAAGCAAGAGACCTCAGGTTGTGTGCAATACAGAAATGCTGAAAATTATTTTTAAAGCAAATACATAGTCAAAGGTTTAAGAATGTAAAGCAGAAGGGGCAAAACTCACTTCACAAAAGACACTTGCTCAGTGTCTTTCAACTCTCTATCTTTATTTCCAGAACAATTACTGACAAGTTTGATGAAAAGAGACAGAAAAGGACATGAGTTTTAATCAACTTAGTAAACGAAGCCCTGTTGTCTGTCTCCAATCTGAAAAAAAAAAAAAATAGGAACAGCACTTCTAGTTTACAAGACAACTGTGAGAATTGAGATAGACTAGACACAGGGCTTGGCACAAGGCTTCAAACCTACATTAAGTGGTACTAAACAAATGTTCATTCATTTAATTCTTGAATACAACTCACCTTCATAGTTTGGTACAAAGAGTTCCTGGAGTATAATATTAACATATCACAAAGCAATGGAGCCTAATGATATCTGACAATATGACTTCTGTACTTAAGATTAGCACTAATAAAATAAAACCCCCTGAGTTATGATTTGGTAAATCTGTGCTACAACAGGAATTAAAGCGAACTTGGCATTAATCAATCCCATTCAAATGTGCGCTGGCCTTGGACCAGGAGAACATGTCACTGTGTGTGCAGAGCTGGAGCCGGCCCCGTTGGCTGCTGCCGCACCTGCTCAGCCCCTGTGCCATTTGGATTTTTCATTTTGCAACACTTTTGCTTAATCTGTGTCCTCTTTTCCTTCTGATCATTCTTTAGGCAATGGCCTCTTGATAAAGATTTATAGTGAGTATTTCCTAAATTAAACATGTCTTTCTATTCATCCCCTGGATTACCTCCTAATTGTGAAACTGCAAAGGGCTCTGTTATGACCTGGGAGGGAAGGAAGAGGCAAGAGTTTCTAGGCCAAGGTTAAGCCCAGAGAAGATCAGGCTAGACCAAGCACAGGTGTGAAAGGCCCAAACGTTTGCAGTGCGGTTCTGCCCTTCCCTGCTTCCCAGGACAGGGGCTGGTGTTTCTTTTGCAGCTGTCGGGCTTTTACCAGAGGCCCCGCACCAAACGGCATGCCCTTGAGCACAGATGTTTGACCTCTTTCAAAGCAGGGGTATCCCGCCCAGACACAACAAAGCAGCTCGTCTGGGTAAACGGCACGTTGCCATAGTGGTAACGGGTGAAAGATGGGAATGTGGGATGAATGATGTCAGTGACAGCGGAAGGTAACTGATGGACAGGCACGAGGAGATAATGAAATCATTCAGACCCACTGTGGTTCTCCCAGAACTCGGAAATATTGCACACAGTATTTTCCATGAAATAAGATAACCACAGAAGTTGAAAACACAAGCATATTTCATTAATGCATTTCAAGCCCAATACAACAAACAGTAAGGAAAACAGCAAACATTTATCACATGCTTTTTATTCCATTTATTTGACTGCTAATAGATTGCAATAGTTCCTACTTGCTTTAGCCTTATATTCAAGTACTCACCTTATAAACTCTGCCACATCCTCATTTCCTGACTTGCAATTAACAGTTTGCTATGAATCTGACACGTTCTCCCCCGTGAGCCTCACTTAAACTCCTTCATCAAACACACCTGCCTCTTCTAACGTGCAGGCAATTGCCTCCTTTGCCAAGAAGTAGCAGCTCTTCTAAGCAGAGCCTCTTCTCCCAGACTTCTACTTTCCCAAATTCATACATACTTTATCCCAATCTTTCTCGGATCATGGGCTGACTCAGTAGAAAAGTTCGTAACATTTGCTGTTTCTATCCATACACCTA